CTTTATTGAATTTATCTTAAGATCAAGGAATGACTTAAACTGGTGAAGGGAAAGTCCGCCGTGGAAGAGCTTGCCAATCATAGCATTCACGAAGGAGAAGAAGAAACGAATCTCTATGCAGATGACAATCTTCTCTGGGTCGCTGTCTGATAATAATTCCTCCACAAGGACGTGAAGCCGAGAAGAAAGCCCTACACAAAAAGGAGAAATCCGTTAAAAGCCTTGATGAAGAAATAAATAACATTTCTCAGTAGCTCAATTTATACCTTCTTCCCCTTGAGTCACTGGGTGTATCAACTGGTGTAGTTGGTCTCACAGCCGGCTCAACATGATCAGTCTCGACAAAAGCTCCTGTCAAATACAAAATAGAATTCTCAGATGCATCACATTATAGTTGCATTAGTCAAAAATTGACTAGTCCTATAATTAACTTGAGAAGAGCTACGTACCTTCAGAAAAACCACCATCGGGATTCTTAGGGAGCGTAGACTCAGGAAATTCATCTCCAGGCAACTGGTCATCAATCTGAGGAGAGTCATACAAGAAGTGGAGCATAGGAGTGTCCACAAGCAAACCCTCCCCGTCGAAATCTTCAGTCGGGAAATCTGACACAAGGGAATATAAATACGAAAGAAGAATAAAGAGACTACAACCAATAGAAATGAGTTACCTCTTATAAGTGTGTCAGCCTCTTTATTCCCAAGATCCACGTTTGTCTCCTGCAAGTTATCTAAAGGAGCGAGAAGCATAGATACAATCAGGGAATGCACAAATTCTGAATCATTCGACTCCTTTGTGTGCCATCTAAAAGACATGTTGTTAATGGTAGATGTACCTAGATTCATCGAACCAGGTCCTACATTGATGGTCTCCCTAATGTCGGCAGCTTCTGCAGACCTTTCTACTTGGTGCGGTGAGTCGGGCTCACCAGAAGATGTAGAATCGTGAAAAACAGGATCAGGACTCATCTCGCTCTCCCCACGCTCTCCTATATAGAGATGGAAAAACGTGAGTCAAAGTTCTAAATGATCAAGAGGCTGGTCTATAGGGTAGATGTTACCTCCATCACTAGCAGGATCGTCACCGACCAAATCCATATCAGATGCTCGTGAAACTACACGCGGCTTGCGGGCTAATCTCTTCCGCCTATCAGCAGGGACAATAATCGAAGGTCTCGCCTGGGGAGAAGGACGGAACTCTTCATCTTGGTCAGCTGTGGTCCCTGAAACATCAAACCATTGTCAGGCTTAATAATTCTGGAAGATCAGAGAACTACTGAAAATAAGTGGAAAACGCCCAACACTTGTGGACCTGTAGCTGCTGTCTGACGTCAGGGAATCCTCGCCCCTCCCACTTGCCGTTCTCAAACAACTGTAGTAGGGGGGCGGAGGGGTCTGTGGCATACGGTACTGACATCATATCAGAACGATGAAGGACGAACCAAGCCATCAAATAAGTGTACGGAAGCTCCACCTTAATAGTAGGAATCTGAGCCGGTGATTCACTTTCCTTCCGTGTAAAAGCACTAGAAATCTGTCGAAGCCCTCGATGAATGTTAGCCACCATCACCGGAAGAAGCGAAAGTTCCTTTTTGTAGGCAAGCTTAACCGCTGGGTAGAGCACCTCCAATGGCAAGATATCACTAGACTGATATGGGACCACGTATTTCTTTAACCAGATAGCGAGGTAACCGGCGAGAAGGGTCATCGGTCGAATCGGCGCGGTCGCATGCCACAAGAATGCTTTAAACTTGGTCCCTGTAGGAAAACCACTCTCAGGACTGCTAATGGTATAGGAATGAGCATCAACCTTCTTCAGTAGATTATTAACCCTTGAAGGAGTGAGTGGTGCCAGCTCACAAATAGCCTCGCCAGAATTGCTCTCTAGATTCCTGAACAAATAAGACGCAAACTGTTTCTGGCTCACATGGGATTTAGCCCTCTTCGCTAAAGGTTCAGACTGCGCCAAAGCGATATGATAGTGACATGTGAGGTCCCATAAAGTCTCGTAGCGGTCGGGCATGCGATCCTTCAGCTGACTTAATTCTTGGTTGGAGGGAAAATATTCCTGATATAGCATCTGTCCCATGGGCAAACCAGAAATCCTGTGCATCTCATGGAGGGCCAAGCCCAACTCCCCTTGCCGTGTCAGAAAAGTGTTCGAATCCGGGTTGTAGAGCTCGCACAAAGCGAAGAAATGCTTCGCGCTAACAGGCAAACCATACATGGTGGCACGAACGGCTGCATACAGACCACAAGCGTGCAACTCCTCACTCCATCGGCTCCAGACGTACTTCGTCATGCGAGTCCACCAAAGCTTGTCCAAAGAATGGACCCAACCATAAAATCTGTGACGTGTCGCAGGCATCTCCCGTCCTAAAGCAGCGAGGCGATTCTTCAAAGTAGAAGCAGAGACAAGAAGCTCGTTACGCGGCGGTGCATCCAACCCCAATACTCCAGGATGCAATCCAGTGATATGACTCCTGCTCGAACCAGGAGCTGCCTGATGAGTGATGTAGCCGCAGTGAACACTCTCATGCTCCCGTCAACGAACATCTCCCGTGTCACAGCCTGACGCCTGAGCTCAGTCAACGAACGATGCCGAGGAATCTTCGGCAAATATATGAAACCACTGCCAGTTTTATGAAGCCACTGCTCGACATCAATAAACACTGCATCCGGATCTCTGGCAGAGTCGCCAAATAAAAAGTCGGTCTTCTTGAGAGGCTGAATCGAACTAGTATCCTTCACGAAAGGCGCATCTGTAATCAACTGGCGAAGAGCTCGATGTCCACCTTCCTTCACCACTTGGACAACCTCTGTCGACGTGCCCGAAGCAAACCGAGGAGTAACTGGAATAGGGGAAAAATCGTCGGAAGTCGAATAATACTCGCCACGACGCCCGTACACTGCGTGAGATGAGAACGCTCCAGAAGGATATTCCACTGGAAGCAAACATTTAAACATTTGTTAGTCTCAATTATAAAAGGAAGTTGAACTCATCCTACGAATGGGTAAGATAGAGTCACTGCCTTATAAAGGGTGAGACGATTTGGCCACATTATGCACTTATAAGATAGGGTATATCGACTATATATCCCTGCCTTATAAGGCACAATGCAGCGTCAAAACGCCCCCTTTATTGATTTTGAGATATGGTTTTGACCAAGCAAAACATATCTTTAAAGCGTCGATCCTCGCCAAGGAGAATCAAGGCTCTTCCCGATTGCCTCACCAAGGAGAACAAAATGGGGATAAAAAGGACCAATTTGTAAATTTCCAAGAAAAAATGGACTAATTTGTAAATTTCCAAAAATAGCTCACCAGCATAAGAGGGAGGCGCGCCATCAGCCGATGCGGTAGAGGATTGACCTCTCGTAATACGAGACATAGAGACCTGCAAAATAAATTAAGGGATCAGATCCAGGAAAAAGTTCCTCTTTTTTTGCAAAATAAATTAAGGGATCAGATCCAGGAAAAAGTTCCTCTTTTTTTGCAATTCTCCCCCCCTGAAAGGTGAGCTCGAGGCGCTAAATCATAATCCTAACCCTCGCATGCGATCCCACAAATTCATAAATTGAATTAAGGATGAAATATGCTAAAATTATGGAGGATATACCTGAAAGAAAGCTCGAAGATCCGACAAAAATCAAATCTTGAAAGAGGCTCAGACCACGTGCTCGAGGGTTCTGAGAGGAATTTCTATATAAAGATTTTTGAGGGATTCTTCAGTCAAAGATCCAAAAGAAGACTAGATCTAATGCAACTATGAAGTTTTGAGGGAGAATGGATGCTCGAGGGAAGAGAAATCCAAAAATAGGGGAGAGAGGGGGGCCGGCCCTAATGAGGAGAAAAAGACCCCTTATAATAATGTTAAACCAAATCTAGTTGAACCGGACCAGACCAAGTTGAACCGGACCAGACCTGGTTTGAACCATAATTCAAATTAAAGCTGAATCGAGCATCGAAACAACTTCAAATCGACCGAGGGTTCA